CGCGGGGCGCCGCGGCGCTGTTTTGTCTCCTCCTCTCCCTGTGGAGCGACTCAGGCTGCCGGGGAGGCCCTATCTCCCTCTGGACGCCCGGCCGACGGCGGCGGCTAGTCCGCGGCCCTGCTGGGAGGGAAAGCGACGCCGCGGTCTTCCCAGGCAACGCGGAGAGCAGGTAAGAGCGCGGGCAGCCGAGGGTGGTGGGAGGGAGCGCGGAGGACGCGGCGATAATGCTTCGGAGTCCCAAGTGCCGCCTCCGCGCCCCGCGCCTGTGTTGTTTGCTCCCGGGTTTGCAGAGGGGTTTTCCGGAGGCTGTGGTGGTGACACCGGCCAGGGGCTGGGGAAGGGGGCTGAGTGTCCCGGGCAACGGTCAGGGGGGAGGACTTGGAGAAAGGGGAAGGCGCTCTAAGCGCGGGCCCACGGGAACCGCTGGGCGCGGGGCAAGGCAGAGGGAAGAGGTTACGGACCCCGGCGGGGGGATGGGGCGAAAGCAGCTGGTCTCGCTGTGTTTACATCTCTGCTCGAGTCACCTCTGCCGAGAAGCTGACTGAACTGACCCGCCTTATCCCGTGGAGAGGCCAGGGCGGGGGTCCGGCTCCGGAGGAAGCGCGTCCTGGGAGGGTTTGTGTAGGGCAGGAGGCTGCGGCCGGCGCCGGGGCAGGGCGGCGAGCTTGGGGCGGGACCTGGGAGGCTCCGACTCCTCGGGGTGGCTTGGAAGGCTGGAGACCAGTTTCCTCCCCCGTCGGGCCTTATCGCCGCAGTTTACCTTTCTTCCCCTCTGCTGCCAGCCTGCACGGCAGGTTGTGCTCGGTCGTTCTTTTATTCTCGCTCTCCGCGCCGGCCTCCTGCTGCCACCTCCCCCAATTCCCGAGGGGTAGGGAGGGTTGGCTTTGATCGGAATCTGTTTTTTAAACAAAACAAAAACGGGCTCAGTAACACGCACATCCAGTGACTGCCTTTTGGATCCTCTCCCTGCGAAGCTGGCCCCCAGGGACCGCGCTACTGGACGTTCTGGGGGCGCGGGAGGAGAACGGTGAGGGTTTTGCCAGGGCCGGCAATGACTGCCCGGGCAGCTCTACGAGGAGGGCAGCCGAGCCCCCCTCCCTTGCTCCAATTGGGCATTTTTATTTCTTGTCAGTAAAGACCAGAAAAAATATCCCGTAACACCAAGAGTAATCCAGATTGCACCGTTTCTAGTGTTTCTCAACGTGCCAGCATCCTGGACTCTTTTTCTAGGAGCTAGATTCTTTAAGCTTTAGAGGCAGAGCAGCCTTTCTTTAAGTTCTTAGTACTTCACTGAATGAGTAAGAGGGAGACACTTCATTGTAAAACTGTAAAATTTTCTCCCTTTCTTGTGGTCATGAACATTTACTTCAACTGTATGGTTTAAATTTTAATCCTGTGATGAGAGAACAGTAATCATGTGTTTGGTAATCAGATTTGTTTTTCTTTTTATCTGTGTGTCCCTGTGAAGAGGTAAATTATGCATTTTCTCTAGTGCCATACTCACGGAAGAATGTACGCTTTTCTAAGCTAGGACTGGGTATTTGTGTTTCAGAATTTATTCAAAAGGTGGAATGATTTTTATATAAGACTGGAATTAAATGTAAAGGATTTTAGGGATATTTGAAGTTTACGTAGGGCAAGACAGTTTACAGCGTGCACTCACATAAACGTTATTGAGACGTCTAGTAATTAAACATATAAAGTAGAAAATCGAAATATCTTAGGCATTTGAAACTTGAATATTTAATGTCAGCCTGTTTTTTAAGCTTAGTGATTTGACTATTGTGATTAGTCATTGCCTCTCGTTTAAGACATATGTCTTCCTTTCACTTAGGTAGGTACAACTTTTTAAAAACACAACTTTTTGAGTTATAATTTACATACCAAAAAATTCATCCATTTTGAGTACGTGATTATTTTTAGTAACTATTTAGAGTTGTGAAATCACCACAAACCAATTTTAAAACATTTCTATCACCTCCAGAAATTGTCCCTAGCTGATTTAATTCCCATCTCTAGTCCCAGGCAACTACTGATTTGCTTTTTATCCCTATAAATTTGCCTTTTTTGCATATTTCATATAAACGGAATTGTACACTATGTAGTCTTTTGCATCTGATTTCTTTTACTTAGCATGATGCTTTTGAGATTTATCCATATTACAGCATGTATCAGTATTTTGTTCCTTTTATTATTACTGAATAGTATAGAGTTGTATTTGTGTACAAAGACTTGTACATTTGTGTACGAGTCTTTATGTGGACATATGTTTTCATTTCTCTTGGATACCAAAAACCCACTGCTGTCTAGTGGGTTCTGACTCATAGCGACTCTGTAGGACAGAACTTCCCCATAGGGTTTCCAAGGCTGTAATCTTTACAGAAGCAGACTCTGCCACATTTTTCTCCCACGGAACTGCTGGTGGGTTCGAACCAATGACCTTTCGGTTAGCAGCCGAGTGCTTAACCATGATGCCACCAGGGCTCTTTATCTCTTGGATAAATACCTAGAAATGGAATTGCTGGGTCGTATGGTAAATATGGAACCCTGGTGGTGCAGTGGTTAAGAGCTTGACTGCTAACCAAAAGGTCAGCGGTTCGAATCCACCAACCGCTCCTTGGAAACTCTATACAGCAGTTTTATACTCTGTCCTATAGGGTTGTTATGAGTCAGAATCGACTTGATGAAAATGGGTTTCTGTTAAGTATCTGTTTAACTTTGTAAGAAATTTTATTTATTTTGTTGTTGAGAATATACACAGCAAAACATACACCAGTTCAACAGTTTCTGCATGTACAGTTCAGTGACTTTGATTACATTCTTTGAGTTGTGCAACCATCCTCACCTTCCTTTTCTGAGTTGTTCCTCCCCCATTAATAAACTCAATGCCCTTAGCTAATCTTTCGAGTTGCTGTTGTCAATTTGATTCCATATAGATCTTAAAATAGCATAATGTTCAAGGAGGACATTTTTCACTAAGTTAAACTATTGTTTTAAGAAGACTTCAGGGGATATTTTTGTTTTAAAGTGTAAAGATTATTTCAGGGCATTAGTTTCAGGGGTTTAGCCAGCCTCCATGGCTGGAGTCCATGGGAATTTGAAATTCTGTTCTGCATTTTCCCTGTCTTTAACTTTTTAAGAAACTGCCAAACTGTTTCCCAGAGTGGCTATACCATTTTACATTTCTTCTAGCAATGCAGGAACCCTGGTGCAGTGATTAAGAGCTTGGCTGCCAACCAAAAGGTCGGCAGTTTGAATCCACCAGCTGTTCCTTAGAAACCCTAAGGGGCAGTTCTACTCTGTCCTGCAGGGTCGCTATGAGTCAGAACTGACTAAGTGGCAGCGGGTTTACCATCAGTGTAAGAGGGTTCCAGTTTCTTCACATCCTTGCCAACACTTGTTATTGTCTGTCTTTTTTGTAATAGCAATACACTTTACAGCATGGGTATGAGATG